AATTTAACACAATAATTCACAGCAATATGACCTCTGTGGGTCCCAATAATACTGGCACATAGCAACAATATGATTTTTAATATGCTTTTCAGCTCAGTTTCTTTAACTCATAAAACTACATGGAAAATGCCAAGATTATTTAACTATAAATTCCACATAAATAATTATGTCACAATTTTTATAGTGCACGCCCATACGCCCGTCACCTAAGATGTGCGTCACCTTCCAACAATTCACAAAAATACATATATTCAGGGTTCATACCCTCAACTCTAAGATTAGAAGAATTACTTACCTCGAACAAGCCGAATCCAAAGTCAAGCAAGCTAAACAATGCTCGAGAAATCCCATTATGCGCGTATCAACTCCCGAACGGCTCGAATCTACCACAATTAATTTGATTCAGTTCACACAATTTATAGGAATTAATTCCATATCAAAATGCTAATATTTTCCACAAAATCCTAAATTACGCCCCAAAATTCACTTGTGGGGCCCACATCTTGAAATCCGATAAAACTCACAAAATATGATAACCCATCCAATTACAAGTTCAACCATACTAATTTCATTCAAATCCGACTCCAAATTGGTATTCAAACTTAAAAAATTCATTTTGTCACATTATAGAAATTTTCTTCTATTTCTCTTGAAGATTCAATAATCTTACACCACAAATGAAGATTAATTTATGGAATATAATCACATGGGAGTTAAGAACACTTACCCCAAGTTTTGTGGAAAATTTTCTCTCCAAAATCGCCCAAACCGAGCTCCAAAATATCCAAAATGAGAAAACAATCTCGGAACCCTCATTTTTGACCACTGCCCAGGCATTACCGCACCTGCGGTGCCTGGGCTCGCACCTGCGCATCCGCATTTGCGAAACAAATTACGCGCGCCTGCGGACAATGCCAACCTTTCAAAACCGCGCATCTGCGGTACCCTTCTCGCATCTGCGGGCTCGCAGATACGCAATTCCTTCGCACCTGTGTTCGCCCCAGGCCAGCCCAGTCCGAATCTGCGCCAAAACCTTAGCACCTGCGGCCTCGCGGATGCGGAAAATTCCTCGCACCTGCGAGCACTGCCCAATCCCACTCTTGGATGTTTCTGCGGCTTATTTCATGCACATGCGGCTTCGCACTGGCGATCAAAATCTTCGCAGGTGCGATCACACCAGTAGGCAGCAGTTCCAGCATTTCCTTAAGTCCAAATTTGATCCGTTAACCATCTGAAACTAAAACGAGGCCCTCGCACCCCGTTCGAAAATACCAACAAGTCCCATAACATAACACAGACCTACTCGAGGCCTCAAATCATACCTAACAACCTCAAAAATACGAACTACACACGGATTCAAGCCTAATAAATTTCTAAATTTCCAAATTCTACAAACGACGCCGAAACCTATCAAATCATGTCCGATTCACATTACAGACCTAATCAAATTTTTGAAATCGGATTCCGACCCCGATATTAAAAAGTCAAACCCCCGGTCAAACTTCCCAAAAATTCAACTTTTGGCAATTCAAGCCAAATTCACTACGGACCTCCAAATAATTTTTCGGACACGCTCCCAAGTTCAAAATCACCATATGGAGCTATTGGAATCATCAAAATTTGAATCTGAGGTCATTTACCCATAAGTCCGCATTCGGTCACTATTTTAACTTAAGCTTTAAACCTTGGAACTAAATGTTCCAATTCCTTCCAAAACATCACTGGACCCGAACCAATTACCCCGACAATTTACACAATAACTGTAAAGTACAATTTGAGAAGTAAATGGGAAAACGGGGTTGTAATACTCAAAACGACTGTCGGGTCGTTACAATAATCTATAGTCGATTGTTCTTATCAAATATCTGATAATACGTTTAACAACAGTCAAATGAGTCTCTTTAGGAGCTGACTGATATCTAGCACATTTGCAAACACTAACTTGATATTCGTTCGACTTGAAATAAGATAGAGTAATGAGCCGATCATACCTCGATACATTGTTTCATCAACATTCCTACAAATTTTATCTTCATCCAAGGTAGTCGATGGACTCATAGGAGTTCCTATGGCTTTTGCATTGGACATACCATACTTTTTGATGAGTTCTTTCGTATATTTTGTTTGACTAATGAAGATTCCTTTCTGTGTTTGCTTGATTTGAAGTCCAAGGAAGAAGGTTACTTCTCCCATCATATTCATTTCAAATTCTCCTTTCATAATATTTGAGAAATTCTTGCACAAAATAATATTAGTACTACCAAAAATAATATCATCCACATAAATCTGTACAATTAGGTTTCCTAGAGATGATCGCTTGATGAAAAGAGTAGTATCAATATTACCTCTGTCGAATCCATGTTTAATTAGGAAAAGGCTTAACCTTTCATACCAGGCTCTAGGAGATTACTTTAGGCCATATAAAGCTTTGGATAATTTGTAGACATGATTGGGAAAAGATTCATTTATAAATCATGGAGGTTGCTTAACGAAAACCTCCTTAGAAATAAATCCATTTAAGAAGGCACTTTTCACTTTTCACATCCTCCTCAGAAATAGTTTGAAACACTTATGAGTAGCATAAGCTAATAGAATGCGAATGAATTCTAACCTGGCAATAGGGGCGAAAGTCTCCTCATAATCAATCCCTTCTTGTTGTGAATAACGTTGAGCAACTAGTCTCGCTTTATTTCGCACGACTTTTCCGGATTCGTTCAACTTATTTCTGAATACCCATTTTGTTCAAATAATGGATGCATTTTGTGGCTTAGAAATGAGTTTCCATACTTTGTTGTTCTCAAATTGATCAAGCTCTTCCTTCATTGCAATATTCCAACTTTTGTCACCAAGTGCTTTGTCCACCCTTTTTAGTTCAAGTTGGGATATGAGAGCGATATTTGATGACTGCTTTAGAGATCTTCTAGTCTTCATCCCTTCCTGTGGGTCTCCAATGATATATTTATGGGGATATCCAGGTTCGCTTTTTCATTCATTTGGGATGACTAATTTTAACTCCTTTTCAGCAGAGTTAGTTAGACCGATTAAGGTGGACTCCTGATTTTCTGTCAGAGACATAGTCGACTGATTTTGCTGATTAGTCACTTTTTCAGAGGAAATTCCACTTTTATCGATGGACTTTGGCACTATGGAAATTTTTTCATTTTCAGGAAGACGATCATTCTTCAAATGAGGGTTAGTATCTATAAAAATAACATGTATAGATTCTTCAATGGATAAAGTACACTTATTAAAAGTTCTATATGCTCTACTGGAAGGAGAGTATCTGAGAAAAATACCTTCATCGCTTTTGGGATCGAACTTACCAAGATTGTCTTTTCCATTGTTATGAATAAAACACTTACACCCGAAGGGATGGAAATAACTGATGTTGGGACGTTTTCCTCTCCATAGTTCATATGGAGTTTTCTTGAGTATTGGTCGAATAAGACATCTATTGATGATATGACATGTTGTACTTACGGCTTCTGCCTAGAAGTGGTGTGGGAGAGAATTTTTCAAAATCATGGTTCTCGCCATATCTTGTAGAATTCTATTTTTAGGTTCTACCACTCCATTTTGCTGTGGCAATCTTGGGGAAGAGAAATTGTGAGAGATCCCTTGATCATTGCAGATGTTCTCAAAAGCTTTGCTTTCGAACTCTCCTTCATAGTCACTTCTTATGGAGGAAATGTAGTAACCTTTTTCACGTTGTATTTTCTTGCAAAAGACTTCAAAATAATTTAGAGCTTCATCTTTGTGACTCAGAAAAACAATCAAGGTGAATCTAGAAAAATCATCTACTATAACAAAGGCATACTTTTTACCACCTATGCTAGCAGTTCTAGTAGGTCCAAAAAGATCCATATGCAATAGTTGAAGAGGTTTTGAAGTGAAAAAATTGTTTGTGACTTTAAAAGAGGATCTGGTTTGTTTCCCAGTTGACATGCATCACAAATTTGATCTTTCAAAAAATCTAGTTTTGGAAGACCGATGACAAGATCGTTTTTAGAAAGATTATGAATAGTATGCATGCTAGCATGACCAAGTTTTCTATGCCATACCCAGGGGTCATCAAGAATGGAAGATAGACAAATCTGATTACCAGAGCTTTGCAAGTTACTTATAGTATAAATATTTTTGTCCCTATTTCCAGAGAGAATAACTTTACCTGATTCATCTTCAATAAACCAACCATATTTTTTGAACCGAACCTCGTAGTCATTATCACATAGTTGACTAATGCTGAGAAGATTGTACCCAAGTTCTTCAGCCAGATACACTTCATCTACATCACATGTTGAGCTGAAAGGAACCTTTCCAATGCCAATTATATTTCTTTTGATTTGTCTCCAAATGTAATTGTTCCTCCATCTAGTCTAGTGATAATTTTGAATAATTATTTGTCACCAGTCATATGTCTAGAACACGCGCTGTCAAGATACCATTTTTCTTTTCGATTCTTCTTGCGGTGTTCCTGCAAAACAAAGTTACTTGTTTTTAGGTGCCCAAGCCTGCTTGGGTCCTGAATGGTTAGACTTCTGAGTGTTAGCTTGACTAATGGATTTAGGTCGCCAGACCCATCTCCTGTTATTTTTGATCCTGCAAAGATAAGAAGCGTGAGCAGGTTTTCCACAGTAAAAACACAATGGATTTTTTTGATTTTTAGAGTCCCTTTCTGCTCTGATTTTGTTCCTGCACTGGTTAGTGTTGTGACCATTTTACCACAATAAGAACATCCCTGAGAGTTTCTAGTTTTAATCAAAGATGTATGAGGAATAGTCTGATTTGATTTGACAGAGCTATGACTTATGGATTTTATTAGTCCATTCAGTTGAAGTTTAAGCTCATTAACTTCATCTTGAAGCATGTCATGCTCAATTTCACATACTTACAACTTCAGGGCCCAATCTTTCTTTTCGCTTTTGATTTTTCTGAGTTCTCCTAAAACTTTTTCGATATCTATAAGAGCAATATGAACAAATTCTTGAAGTTCATAACAGTTGGGACACGAATAAAGACGTACCTCACTGGTTTCTTCGTCTGCCATGAGATAGAGTTCGCCGGAGTCTTCTTTCTTATCTGCTTTGCTTTCTGCCATGAGCTCAGGCTCATCTGAGTCTTTATTGCTACCTTCTTTTGTGACCATGAAATACATATTTATAATTTCTTCATGGTCAGATTCTTCTTCATCACTCCAGGATCCAAAGGACTTCTTCTTTTGAAAGTTCCTGCTTAGTTTTCTTTTCAGTTCGGGACAATCAGCTTGAATGTGTCCATATTTTTCACATTCATAGCATCTTCCATCATTTTTATCATTTTCATTGCTCGTCCTTCCTTTTCTGAAGTTTGATCTACCTCTTCTACTATATCTGTGTTTCCTCATCATGCTTGTGACAACTTGGGAGAGCATGGGTATATTTTCATCCCGTACTTCTCCTTCCTCCTCTTCTTCATTTTCTGATTCAGCAACAGTTGCTTTAAAAGAAACCGTTTTCTTCTTTTCTTGTTTAATTTGCCTGTCCAAGTGAGTTTTCTCAAAGGCAATTAGATCACCTCTATGTTCATCATAGGATATTTTGTCAAGGTCCTGTCATTCTAGAGCAATAACTTTGGGTTGCCAAATTATGGGTAGACTTCTAAGGATTTTTCTGACCTGTTCTCCACTTTTGATTGGTCTACCAAGAGACATTAGATCTCCAAGGATTTTGCTGAACCTAGAGAACATTTCCTCCACTGATTCTCCATCTTTCATTTGGAATAGTTCATAGTCACGAACTAGAAGATTGATCCTTATTTCTTTTACCTTGTTGGTTCCTTCATATGTTACTTCCAATTTATCCCACATTTCCTTGGCAGTTTCACAGCTCGAAATCTTTTCATATTCTTCTCCGTTGATAGCATTGTACATAAGATTTTTTGCTTTGGCATTCACAGTTATTACAGCAGCATGTTTGTCAGTGTAGTAATCTAAATCAAGTGGGTCAGTTGATACTATGACTTGACCATCATCATCTTTCTTTGACGGAACTGGAAAATATCCTTTTTTGATCACACGCCAAACTTTGATGTCATATGACATAGTGTATGTTTCCATCTGAACTTTCCAGTGAGAAAAGTGTTTCCTGTTAAAATATGGAGGTCGTACCTGAGAGGTTACGTTTTGAAATAATGCACCGACGACTGTGTTTGATCCCGTGATCTTTTTCTCACTAGCTGTTAAGCAAGGTTAGTGAGTCTGGCTATTATACCAATTGAAAGAACAAGAGGGGGGTGAATTGTGGTCGATTAAAACTTAGTTGACTAAGTTTTAGATTAGTCAACTAGATTCTGCACAGTGAACAATTTAAAGAAAGATAAACCAAGCAAACTGAAAGATAACGGGACACAACAATTTTTATACTGGTTCAGTACCGATGAGGTACTTACATCCAGTTTCCCTTGGGTTACAAGGGACTTCTTATATCTTTGATAATAGGTTACAATGATGATGGTTTTGGTTTGCTCACCGTCAATAACATTCAATGATAATAGCTTTTCTAAAGTTGACACAACTCTCTTTTTGTGTACTATCGCTTTTTATCTTTTATGAAACTTGTAGACTCAGGAATACAGTGTTAGTACTAAGAACTAGAAAGGTTTAGAATCAATTTTCGTAGTTGCGCCCAGTCCTTGAATACGCATCAGTCTTCTTATAGATCAGATTTGAGAGCTGTTTTACCATTGTTTTTATCAGTGCACACAACGTGTTCATGATACTTGATTCATGACCCATATATTTGATTCCTTAAATAAGGATGGGCTGAATTTAATAATCCAGGGAGTGCTTCTAAGTCGAGATCTGGGGAGTTGCTTCCATTCTCCAAGCTTTGTTGAAGAAGAGAGAGCAGTTGATGGGATGGATTAGTTTTATCTAGGGAGTGTTTTTCATGCTCCATGATTTATTGGGCAGAGGAGCATCACTTCAATTTGTCTCCCATTACATTTTGTTCCCTTTCTATTTTAAATCGTCCTTTATACAAAATCTGTTATTTTGTATTTGCAGATGAGTCACATAAGACAATGGTCCAAGATACATAAACATGGAGTGGATCTTCATTCCTTTTTGGCAATGCTTGCTTCACCTGAATATGTAAATTATAACATTAGTCAAGACTTCTTTATAGATGTTGGATCATTATTAAAGTTCTACACTTAACACTACATACCACTAGGAGCAGCAAACGGGCGGGTCGGATATGGTTCGGGTCGAAAACAGATAATGAAAAAATGGATAAATTATCCGACCCGACCCATATTTAATAAGGATAAAAAATAGGTTAACCGGCGGATAATATGGGTAACCATATTATCTATAACTTCTTGCATATGATCACTTTTGGGAGAATTCTTAGTCTCCCTAACTTGAGGAACCCCCAATTTCAGGCTTTATAAATGTAAAAGTTAGACTCATTGGTTACCCATTTTCTAAATGGATAATATGGTTCTCGTCCATATTTGACCCGTTTTTAAATAGTTCATTATCCAACCTATTTTTAGTGAATAATATAGGTGGGTAACTATTTTTTTAACCATTTTGCCACCCCTACTTACCACTGTTTGTCTCCGTGGTTTTATGATCAAGTTTTTGAAGGCATAGTTTAGCACTGTTAGTCAGGTTATCCAGCATGTCATTCATATTCTAAAGTTGTCACTTTGGTTGTTCTAATAGTTATTTTTGTTGTACCTGACCAAAGAATTCCTACTGTTCCTTTGAACCCCATGCGCCAAAGTAATATTCTTGTGGTCAAATTTGTTTAAACATGTGCTCTTTCTTGTTAAAATGTTCAAAAGTTGGTGAAATGGTTGTGTAGGGAATCTGTACCTTTGCCTTAAATTTTGAATGCTAATGCTCAAGTGTGTTTTGCTTTATTTTGACCGTATTTAGATGCTAATTGGGTAATATTTTATCGTATGTCCTCGGTTGGTTAATTTGTAAATATGAAAGTGAAGAAAGGTTTGTAAGGCGTTGGTTCAAAGGGTTAAATTTATGGGCTTTAGGATCTGACATATCAAAAGGGTTAGGAAAATTGGGTTGGTTAGAAATCTTTTAATGGCTCTTCTCATGGCTTAAGTCACCTTTACTTTTATTAGCCTCTCAGTCTCTTTCTCAAATGTTCATTATTGCATCGGATGCTTATTATGGATACTTTATTTAGTTGATGATTGATTTTGTTGGACATGAATTTGTTTGAATGATTTGGGCCGTGGGAGTGGGGAAAGACAAGCCCATTAGAGGTTGAATTTGCTTATATGCTTTAGGATTGGGCTTATTCGAACAAGTGAAATTAATTGATAAAAATAAGCATGATTTCGAATTTTCTTTTATTTTATCTCATTTAGTTTTCTTTCATTTGTTTATGTTATTACTTAACCACTAGTAGCATGCTTAGACCGGCCACATTTGGATGGGCAAATCTTTAGGGCGTTTACGCTTTAGTTTTGTCGAGGCGAGGGGTCATCCCTTTAGTTGATTTTATTTTCCGGGGAATATCCCGAAGAACTTTTGTAAATATGTTGGAGGTCGTGACGAGCATTGTGGAGAAATTATTTTTAATTCGTACCCTATATAAAAAATTTTAAAAAGCTAAAAAATATATATATTAAATTTCTAAAAATATTTACATAGTAGAAGGTGATAAAAATTTAAATATAGTCAAAATTTAGGTGCTCACAGCTGCCCCTCTTTGCTTGAAAACATGAAGAGTTTTCAGGAAAAGACTAGGTGAGACATGTGACTAATTTTTGACCAAATCGTTATTCAAAAGGAAAAGAAATAAAAGATAGGGTGCAACCGAGTCCTGGTTTTGGACAACCTACATATTCCGGGTTATAGGAAAATCAGGTCACGTATAGTTCAAGGAGAATGGTGGAATGATGAGTTGAGGAGTCGAGTAAGGTTCCGTCGAGGCTCCAGTCCGCGGTCCTACTATTATACCAAAATAAAAAAGAAACTCAACAAGCCTATCAACTATGAGTTACAAGATTCCTATCTATGAGTTTTCTGAAACTTGATCTTGAATCTTGACTAGTTCTTCATGCAGACTATGATATAAACCTTGATGCTTACTAGCTGTAGGTACTAGTTCATTGTTCTATAGCTTCTTCTAATCAAAACGGGACTCCAATGCTCGTGGCTTTAGTCATGTCTTGAGCATTCCATATTTTTTCAACTGCTTTTCTATTTTGGATTCACCTATTTTTTCTTTTCTTTTATTCTGAAATGAGACTTCTTTTTTTGTCCATCTCGAACCCTGTGCCTCGAGGTAAAACCTACTCAGATACCAAAACAAACAAACGAACGAAATTTTTCTGCTCGAGTTTACACTAGAAAAATTTTGTGAGTTATTGTAACAAAATTCTAAACTACTTTATTGAAAGCAATAAAAGATCGGGAATGATGTACCCCGAAAAACACAAAGACTAGGGAATGAAAGAAACTAGGGAGTGGAGACCTTATGTTGGAAAACCGACTAGGGATTGGAGTACCCTAATACTAGTAAGGAAATATAACCAGGGGTTGGTACCCTATATTACGGAAAAAGAATGTAATCATGGGATAGCGTCCTATATTACTGAAAGAAAATGTAACCAGGGGATGGTACACTGTATTACGGAAAAGAAATGTAACCAGGTGTTGGTGCCATACATTACTGAAATGAAAATGAATCCCCTGGGCAAAAAGGTTCTACCTGGGTTAAACTACGTAAAACAATCTGAACGAAGAGTACTTTTACCTGAAACTATGAGCTGGATCCCCCTAGGTAAAAAAGTTCTACCTGGGTTAAGCTACATAAAACAACCTGAGCGAAGAGTACTTCTACCCGGAACTATGAGCTGGATCCCCCTAGGCGAAAAGGTTCTACCTAGGTTAAGCTACGAAAAACAACCTGAGCGAAGAGTACTTCTACTCGGAACTATGAGATGGATCATCCTAGGCAAAAATGTTCTACCTGGATTAAGCTACGTAGAACAACCTGAGCGAAGAGTACTTCTACCCGGAACTATGAGCTGGATCCCCCTTGGCGAAAAGATTCTACCTGGGTTAAGCTACGTAAAACAACCTGAGAGAAGAGTACTTCTACCCGAAACTATAAGCTGGATACCCTAGGCGAAATGTTCTACCTGGGTTATGCTACGTAAAACAACCTGAGCGAAGAGTACTTCAACCCGGAACTATGAGCTGGATCCTCCTAGGCGAAAAGGTTCTACCTGGGTTAAACTACGTAAAACAACCTGAGCGAAGAGTACTTCTACCCGAAACTATGAGCTGGATCCCCCTAGGCGAAATGTTCTACCTGGGTTAAGCTATGTAAAACAACCTGAGCGAAGAGTACTTCAACCCGGAACTTTGATTTGGATCCCCCTAGGCGAAAAGATTCTACCTGGGTTAAGCTACGTAAATGAGAGGTATAGACAGTAGTGATGCATGCTGAAAAATAAAATAAAATGGAGATTTTGAGGGATTTATCTTTGGTGATATTCGTCCTTTGAGAGTCGCCATTCTGCATTGCTTTGTTCCTGCTTCAAACAAAAAAAACTGTGAGTTTTCAAAGTGGTGGTTGGTTTGCGGCCTTGATGCCCTAAGTAACTTGAAGCCATGACCACTGTTGTAGGAGAATTGATTCTTCCAGGATGGTACTGAGATGCTTGGATACTCTGTATAGCTTCCTGGAGACCTTGGCTCTCCGATGTTGCCCCCGACTGTTTCATATCCAGATGTCCATGGTACCACTAACCCTTGTCCCTAAGGCAAGGCAAATTTCCTTTAAAATAGAACTTAGTTATCATGCACTTAGCACCAGTTCGTGTATGTAGTGCTTATCCACTTTTCCCACGAAGCAAGTCTTGCTTAGGCGACCTTTTTAGTTTCTTTGAGACGCTTTGTTCGTCTTATTAAAAGAGATCACAGATGGATTCGTGCCTTCATAGATATCGTATATACCCCAAATTATGCTTGGTATTACAGGGAAAATGTAGTCAATTTTGCAGCCATTACTTTTCTTTGCTTTTGATGCAAGATTAGACCGAAAAAGGAATTAA